CCCCCCCCCGCTTTTTTTTTTCTCAACAGAATTTTTTTCCTGTTCTTTTGGGGGTTTCTGTGTGGGAGGGGGCATGGGGTATTTTTGGTTAAACCATCTGGCAACCCTATCTGTGGCCTGCCACCCTGAGGTGATGGCATGTTCTGAAAACCAGTTCTGGCTGGGAAGAGCCAGCACAGTTCCAAGTCCCCAGCTGCTGACAGGCTCGCCCATCAAATGGAGTCCTTGGGTCAAAAGCTCACTGCCTCCATTTTGAATAGTTCTAACTGAACTGTTTTAGTCCCAACGTACCTAACTGGCCAATAGAAATGACCAGATGAGGATCCAGTACAGTTCTTAGCACCTACCTAGTGGGCACATCTGCTTCCTGTTTGAACTCTGATCTGCTGATGTTAGTGACAGGTCAGTTTCACTCTTTTTCACTCCCGTCAGTTCTACACACTCTCTAAGACAAAGGGAAAGTAAACTGCAATTGGTTGTCTCATGCTTCATCAATAGAGTTTTTAACTAAGGTCCAAATGCAGGGTTACCTGGCCCATCCCCAGGAGGCAACTGCCCTGGGGCCCGGTGATTGAAAAGGGTCGGGGCCTCCCAGATACTGCTGCTGCTCTTGTGGCAGCGGCAGCTTCCAGAGCCCCAGGCCTTTTAAATTGCCACCAAAATGTCATGTCATATGCTCCAGGCAGTGCTGAGGGTTGGTTGCCCCCAGCCCCTCCCCTTTTGCCTGTGGCCCCACCTCTTCTGGGAGTATGGAGTCAGCACCCCCTTGCCATCTTGCCCAGGGGCTTTCTCACTAAACCAGTGCACAGAAGGCAATGGGCTTCGACAGATGAGTGAGAAACAGGGTGATCTGGATGATGGAACATTAGCCTAAGACTTACAAGATTAGGTTCTATTTCTGTTTCTGCCATTGGCCTGCTGAGTGAATTTAGGCAAGTCATTTCACCTTCCTGTGCATTATTTGCCCATTTATTAAATGAATATAATACTCGTACCCTTGGTGAAAAGCTTTTAGAGTGAAGAAAATGTGCTATATAAGAGTTAGGTATTATTGTTATATATTGATGGTAAGGATGCATTATTCAGAAAAAAATAAGCTTGACTGTCAGATCCCAGTTTGAATTTGCAAAGGTAGCAGTTAAGAGAAACATCTTTCTCTCATAAGATAAGTAAATGTAACATGGACCCACTAAAAATGGAATCCCTCAGTACCGCTTTATTTTCAGCCTTTATTTTAGTTTATAACAATGTAAATACGAGGAAAGCTGAGTTAACAGACATGGTAATGATTTGTTAATCAAACATTATTATCCTGAGGCTAAGAGTCAAATGTGTATTCTTACCATTAACTATCAAGCACGGAGAAAGTTGTGTCTGAAAAATAAATTAGAAAAAAAGTTTGCTCTTTGTTTTCATGAAATCGTCCCTCTGAGTTTCTGCTATTGATGAACCTGGCTGACATTTTTTGATACTGAAAAACGGGAGAAACTAATTTAAATAGACGTTGTCAACATTTCTTCCGTTTTTCCACCCAGCTCTGTCTCTCATTATGAGTCGGTGAAACATCTGTAAACTGCAGTATTCACAGTTCCTATCATTCAAAAATCATGAGTCAGAACGCAAAATACCATGAGTTCAAATCAAAAATCATAAATAAGAAATTTTAGATTTTTTTTGTTTAGGTTTTTTTTCAGGGTTAATTGTGTGTTTGTTTCTATTTTCTTTTGTTTTGTTTTGCCTTCTGAGTTTCTGAGCCTTCAGGTCACATTTTCTACCTTTTTCTCTGCAACCATGAGGGCAAGAAACTTAATTTTGTTTTGTTGTTTCAAGTGAAAGCGGAGATTCTCACATGATTCTAGAATGTGAAGATTAAGAAGAACGCCAGATATTGCAAAAAGTTGGAAACACTGAAATTGACAAGCGTATTGGCTCTACTTAGCTTCACTAAAATCTTGTTTATTTCTCCTAAAACAGTTGAAACGACTAGGAGGTAGATTGCCAAAATGCCATGGTTCCATCAGCATGTGCCTGTTAAATTGAGTATAGGATTTCTATTCTTCCTTCTCATATGGAACTTGGGTAAGTGCAAAGTATTTCTGACGCATAAATATTTGTAAAATATGTGTTTGGTGTTGTGTGTTTTCAGGTCTGAGGAGAGCTGTGTTAGAACTAACTAGGGGCCAGCAATTGATGGGCTTCACAATGAACCATATTCTTGAGTCTGCCAGTGCAATCCAGACTTATTTGGCATGGTGGTTGGGCCTCCTCTAGTGGCACCTAGATCATCCAGCACTTGGTGAGTCAACTGAGTAGCAGCTGGCTTGTTAGCTTATGCAGCAGAGGCTCATACACTAAGCTTCAGTGGCCCCAGCTTCAGTCCCACCTGCCAATGACCATGCTCTGTTGGTGTTACACCAGGATTAAGATGGAGAGACATGTTGGCCTGAGAGGTTTGCATTGATGCTGTCTGGTCTACACCTGATCTGCAAATAAATGGAAGACTTCATTCTCCTGCACTGTCGAGCCTACCTCTTCTATATTACCATTTTGTAGTATGGTTGTTTCTAGTGGCTCCAGTGGAGATCAGGTGCTCACTGTCCTGGGCATGGCTCAAATACAGGATAAAAGACAAACCCTGCCTTGAAGAGTTCATAAAGCAAGAGTATTATTATTCCCATTTCACAGACAGGGAGCTGAGGCTTTGAGAGATTAAATGACTTGATCAAGGTTCCACAATATATCTGTGGCAGTGTGGGCAATTGATTTCTGTAGTCCCAGCCCAGCACCTGAGCTGCACAACTACCCAGTGTAAGAAATAATATCTTGACTAGCACACTTTGAATAACCAGCACACTTGTAGCTCTTACCGTTGCCAGGCAAGTGTATCTTATGGTTAATGTTGTTACAAATGTGGCTCCAAATCTCTACAAGATTTGTGTCTCTCTTCTTCCTTGGAGTCCCATTAAAGAGAGTTACTCACTTGTGTCAAGGAGCTTTTTTTTTTTGTACCACTGAAGTTGAAAATTATTATGCTATTGATTTTACTGAAAGCAGGATGAGGCCAGAGGGCAGGGGAAAAGGGAAGAAGTAGAAAAGCTAATTTGTTAACCTTTGTTTCTTTAAAAGACAAGTCATTTTTAATGTCAGATTCTTCTTGGTTGGCAGGCACACACTCTGCTGCTGTTAGAAATAGCGTGTGGCTCTGAGTGATGGACTATACTGTTGTCCAGTCATTTCACAGCCTTAACCCTCTCTAGAGAAACAAAGAAACCCCCTGACATCCTTGGTTGGTTATCTGTGTGGGAAAGTTATTTCTCAGAATCCATTTTCTCCATTTTCAAGCTGCAGGCATAAAAGGAGAAAATAAAAAGGAGAAGAACGTGCCAGTGCTGGCTACTGCAGGTAAGGCCTAGAACGTGACTTCAAAAGTTACTCTTACTGTATGGTGTTAAGTTTGAGTCAGAAGTCTGTTTTCCAGAAGCAAGAAATGGACTCATTTCCACTCTGGAACTGCTGCCAGGCAAACCCTTCCACAGCTACTGTTCCCTACAGCTCCTCACCTCAAAACAAGCACACCCCATTCCAGATGTCTACTTCACCTCAAACTCCTAGAAGGTGACTCAGCAGCTATCAGCCTGCTTATCATGCAACCTGAATACCACTCTACTGGCGGTTCCCACTATATCCATCTTTCCATGAGCCTTCCCTGATGTTGCTCACTCCCTCTCCCCAACATGTGACTAATCTCCCTCCCAAGGGAATTCCTCATTCTCATCCTACAGATACCTAAATTGAACGTCACTTCCAGTGGCTGGTGCCCTCCAGGCCCTGAGCTGCAATCCCATTTTTGTTCCAGAAACCATCCTGCCAACTTCTGATGGGTTCTTATTGAGGAGGAGGAGTGGTTTGATTTCTATAGCACATTGTGTGGCTTCTATATCTCTTTGGTTATGTCTACACTAGCTCGTTAGTTCGAGCTAGGTAGGGTAATTAGGGCAACCGGAGTTGCAAATGAAGCCCGGGATTTAAATATCCCGGGCTTCATTTGCATGTTCCTGGGTGCTTCCATTTTTAAATCCCCCTTAGTCCGAACTCCCTGCCCGCGGCTACACATGGCACGGAGTAGGTAGTTCAAATTACAGATCCTAATTCGAACTACCGTTACTCCTCGTGGAATGAGGAGTAACAGTAGTTCGAATTAGGATCTCTAATTCAAACTACCTACTCCATGCCGCGTGTAGCCACGGGCATGGAGTTCAGACTAAGGGGAATTTAAAAATGGCAGCACCCGGGAACATGCAAATGAAGCCCGGGATATTTAAATCCTGGGCTTCATTTGCAACTCCGGTTGCCCTAATTACCCTACCTAGCTCGAACTAACGAGCTAGTGTAGGCATACCCTTTCTTGCTGCACTCTATGTACTGAAGCTCACCTGTTTTTCTAAATACCCATGTTAGGTGAGTTGGGTTTTTCATTTCCACTCCTCAAAGAAGAGTTTGCAATGAGTTTGCTTCAGAGCTGGTCCAAAATGGTAAGACATTGTCATAGTAGATATTTGTTTTCCTTCAAAATTGATTTTTGGGCTTTTTTTCATCCTTGATCCCCTGTACACACATTCTTACCCTCCACCACTGCCCGTTCCCTTGGCTTTTAAATGTCTTGTCTGAACGGAAAAAAAAAAAACCATTTTCTCCAGACTTCTGACTCAGAAAAACGTCTTAATAATTTTTGGTCAAAAAATGTTCTCAAATTCAAAAGACCAGTTATATAGTTAGGCAATTCTCCTTGGCCCATTAGGGCATCTAATTAAAAGAGCTGAATCTTCATTCCAATTCTATGCGACATTCGCAGGTGGAAATTTAATAGAAAATATTGCCCAGTTGAAAGCGGTTCATAAATGAGCACCTGCTTCAATGTCTCTTGAATTAAAATGTGCATTACCCAGTAAGGGACTCCAACAACTTAAGCTTTTACCGACTAATCCGCCATCCACAGCAGAGCACTGACGAACACTGTCAAAAGGTCCTTTCAATTAGTAGTGAATGCATACTACTCCTTTTTGTGAAATAGCACTGCCCCTGCTATCCTCACCTGCCCTCACATGGTATATTTAGCTTCTCAGAGTTGTCATACATTGTTTTCTAGTCCTAATAAGCAATCTGGTATTTTCATTTCCCCACTGATGCTAGCATCTCACTGAATCACTTTCTCCAAGTCATTCAGTAGAATATATACACAGCACATTGACAAGTTCCTGACCCTGTCAGATGTCTGATTGTTCAGAAATGCTCCTTCTTTTTCAGAGCTGCCTGCCAAATCAATTGATCTGACTGCTATTAACCTAACTGAACTAGTGAATGGAATGTTAAATACAGCTCTCAAAGGTAAGGTTGTGCTACAAAAGGATGTGAAACATGCTGTTGACTGTCAGCTCCATGTAAGTTGAAATATGAAGCTAAAGAAGTTAAGAGAAAACGCTGTAAGCATATACTGTGATATACTATATACCTAGCAAAGTATACCGCTGTATTTGGACAGTGACATGATTTCATTGCTAAAGCACACTATATATGTGTGGGGTGGGGTGTGTGTGTGTGTGTCTGTGCACGTGCGTGCGCGTGCGTAATTATTAACAAGAAGTCTTCAGAATGACCCCATTGATCCACATCTATCGTAATGCCCTTTTATTTCTCCACCCGCACTCTATAGTTGTACTGGTTTGTTTAAAATAAAAAATGCTGATTTACAATTATTTCTGCTAGATTGCAATGAAAACAAAATTCAGATGCATTTATCTACAGTCTTTATATGATGTGCTTTAGCAATAAAATCATGTTACTGCCATATCAGACGCATTAGGTTGGTTGCTAATAACCCATTGAATTCATTACTAGACATGTACATGTTTTTCTGCAGGTACGAAAAAATTCTTCTCTTTGCTGAGCATTACCTCTTATAGCTCATTTGCCTTCCACAAAGTTTCGGTCGCCATTTATAACAGTGGGTAACATACCATTTTATTCTACTCTCAAATGCATTTTCTTAGAAGGTGATTCCATCAACATTTCAATTTCCACTGTCCCTCTTTGCAGTTTCTAACCTGAAAAATGTTGACCCCAGCAAGTTCCCCATGAGGTATTGCTACTGTTTAAACAACGTAACAAACGACTTAACAGGTGGGTGTAAAAGCAGTGAGACCAAGAGTGAGCTGGCATTTGGGTGTGTTTAAGTCACACTATTTCCATTTGAGACAGATTCTCAGCCCCAGTCCTGCAACATTCTTTGTGAGAGTGCTGTAGTCACATTGAAGTCAAAAGCCAAGGTAAGAGGCTACTCTGAAGTACACCAAGAATGCGGTAACCCTTGTAAGCTCAGTGGGAGGGGAAAGGAGAAGGAAAGGGGGAAGAGGATTAGGGTCTATAAAGGGCAATTTAGTGGAGGGAGATGCTCCATTGCACAAATTCCCTTTACCTGCTCTGAGCGCTGTTCAAATTCCCGAATGGGAGTGAGGCCACTTCTTCCCCATTTTGTGCATTCAGCCATTTCCCAGCACGGGTGACTTGTTAGTCAGCTGTTGCAGTCATATAGAGCTTCTGTGTCTTTTGTTCTTGCACAAACCTGGGCCTGGCTCTGATCTCATACAGTGTCTCAAAACTGTGACATATGAAAAAAGATATTCCATGATCCTTGTTATTTCTCCTGCTTTTTTCGAGGCTTGGGCCCATGTACAATAAAACTCCAGTTGTCTGGCATCCAGTGATCTGGCACTCCTGTTACTTTGGCACCACCTGGAACCTGGAAGTGCTCCAGGCAGCCGGACAATTGGAGCTGCTCTGCCCCGGGCTTCCCCGAGTCAGCCGCTGGTCAGTTTCAGCAGCGGCTGACTTGGGGACGCCTGGGGCAGAGCAGCTGGAGTGCTGCCGGGTTGGTCCCGCATCTCCTCCACCCCACCCCAGACTGCTCATAGCCCCCCCCCCTTCCAATAGTCCGGCATATTTGATAATCCGGCACCCCCTGGGTCCTAAAGGTGCCATTATCGAAAGTTTACTGTATTCTGTCTTTTTACTAGCACAATGGGATTCCCGTGCATCAGTTGGGAACTCTGGGCACTGCTGTAAGGATTATTATTTATTTGGTATTTGTATTGTGATAGCCTGTAAGAGTACCATTCATGGACCAGGGGCACATTGTGCCACGCACAGTACAAATACGAAACCAACCCACACCTGTGAACTTGCAAGTGAAGCAATAAAAGATATGGAAAGTAAAAAGACAGAATTTGGGAAAAGGGAATAACACTAAGCAATTTGCCTACAAATTACAGTGCATGGGGACAACGCTTACATTTGTGATAAGTTCACTGTAATATAAATGACATGTTTTGAAAAGCTGCCCGCAATTGATATCACAATGTTGGCTCTAAAAGAGATTTTTTAATTCAGGGTAGAGGGCCAGTGAAGACCTGTGTATCACTTAAGTCTTACTTTGAGGCTGCATCTAGACTGGCAAGTTTAGACTGCAGTTGCTTTTGCGGAAAAGCTTGCCAGTTGTCTACACTGGCCGCTTGAATTTCCTCAAGAACACTGACGATCTCATGTAAGATTTTCAGTGTTCTTGCGGAAATACTATGCTACTCCTGTTTGGGCAAAAGCCCTCTTGCGCAACAGACCCAAGAGCCTGGCATTGCTTTGCAGCATCTCTGGCTCCATGTTGGAAGTGCTGTGGCATCTGTAAGGGCAACCAGAGCATGTGGCATCCATTTGGTGTCCCTCAAGGGGGTAGTCAGTCAATGGAGAAGTGGCGTGTGAGACGTGGATGTAAAGAAGAGCCCCTTTAAGCATGAGTCTGAGCTAGCCTTAGGCAGCAGCTACAGGAAGTGACTGCTCTCCGGATCCCCTCTCCGGAATGCTTCCAGGGGCTTTAAATGCGATGCAGGCTCCAATGAGTATGGATGCACTTTTTCTAAATAATTCTGCACTATTTCAATGGTGCCTTGTAGTGTGGACGTGCAATTTTGTAATAGTTATTTTGGGAGTTATTATTTCAAAATAACTTATTTTGCAATAATTTCCCAGTGTAGACATAGCTTCTGTGTTATGCTTCATTGCATTCCTACTGATAAGCATTTGGGTCCCAGTTCAGCAAAGTATTCCAGTTTGTACTTAAATCCATCCCTGTTCAGTAAAACTCTTAAGCACACTTAACGCTAAACTCATTCTTAATTGCCACTGAAATCCAAGGCAAACCATGTGCCTAAAAGTTAAGAACATATGTAAGTGCTTTGCTGATCAGGGATGGAATACTGAATTGGGGCCTTAGATTGTAAAACTGTTCTGTTTTGTCTTCTAGATTTTACAGCTTTACTTGTTGATATTATTGGAAACTCCACCAGTTACCTCACAGAAATTTTCAAATCTACCTCCATAGTCTCAGGTGTGCATATTTTTTATCCTTGTCTTGCTCACTCCCAAAACATAGAAAGGACATATTATAAACCCTAATGGGGTAAGTATTGCTACTGCTTTATCTGCTCTCTTGACCTCACAGATTAGAGGGTGCAGCTGTAAACCAAATCATCTTGAGAAAACATTTTTATTAAAACTACATTTCCTAATGTAAGAAATTTTAATTATTTTCAGCACCTTTGTCATGAAACATATAAAGGGATAAATTTAGGGCTGGATTAAGATTCCCTTCATCAGCTTTAGTATCATCCCACAAATCTTTCAAACTTTCACTGCATGAATATATTGATTTCAATGGGCCACGGGATTCATGAGGAATAAGGGGTCTTGTGAAAGGGTTTTTTTTTTTTTTTGCGACATTTGGCCCTGTCTACACAGGGACAAATAGCATCAAAACTTCTTCTGCAAAAAGAATCGGGAGAAGAAATACAAATGCAAGTGCAATTTGCATATCTTCTTGGACAGCAGAGGCAATGCTTCTTGGGAGATGTAGTTCGCAAGGAGGAGTTTAGCCCATAGAGGAGAAAGGGAACATGAGACACGTACACTACAATTCCTACAAGACACCAACTGAAATATTCTGCTTCTTAGAAGAAAAATTGAAGATTTCCATGGAAAGCAGACACTTTTGTGAAAAATTTAATTTAGTCAAAAACAGAATTTACTGTCAAAAACCAGTTTTTTTATGGTGATTTTTCAACCAGCTCTAGTATTTACTGGGAGGAGGATTGGCTCCCCGATTTCAACTCCTTTAAAGTATACTAATGGAAAGCATTTGATCGACATGTGTTTTCCTTTCAGTGAGTCAGAGCAATGATTCAGACTGTATCTATATCTGCGTGATGGCAGGCCGAACAGGTAAGCATGGGACTTATCCCTTATAGCAGAGGTAGGCAAGATATGTCTTGTAGGCCAGATGCAGCCCGCCAAGTCACTGGATCCGGCCTGCAGACACTCTGCTGGGACCCTTAGGCACACAGCTGCTGCTCTTTTAAGTGCAGGGCTGCTCCATGTGTCTCTCTGCTCTGGAGAAAGGGGGAAGCTTTGTGTGATCTCCTCACATCCAGCCCAATCCTCACCTCCTATTGACCAGAAACAATTGGCCAATAGGAACTGACCCCAGCCAATCTCTTAGATCTTATTGGTCAGAAACAGTCAGCCAATAGGAGCTGAGAGATTGGCCTGCGCCATGGGGGCAGCACAAGCCCCTCCCCCCTCCCCGAGCTTGAGAGATTGGCCTGCGCCATGGGGGCAGCACAAGCCTCTCCCCCTTCCCAGAGCTGAGAGTCGCAGGGAGGGAGCCGCCAGAATTTTCAAGCAGTCTGGGGCTGCAGCATGCAGGGAGCCCAGCCTGCCTTGGGGGTGCTGCAGGGCTGCTGGCCAAGAGATGTTTAAGTAAGCACCTCCCAGCCAGAGCCTACCTCTGGTACTCCAGCCCCTCCTGCACCCCAACTCCCTCCCCCAGGCCACCATCCAAACCCTCTGTACCCCCCTGTGCCAGGTCACATCTTCCTCTCAGACTCTGTATCCCCTCTTACACCCCTCCCCCAGGCCAGAATCCTCGCCTGCACCCATATCCCCTCTGAGACCCTGCACCCTTGACTCAGGTCAAAACCCCCTCTCTCACCCAAACTCCCTCTCAGACTTCACACCATCTCCTGCACCCTAGTCCCTTACCCTGTGTGCCCTTCTGCAGCATCCTAGACCCCACACTCCCTCCACAGAGAAGTGCGGCCCGTCACCACTTTCCAAAAAGTGGCCTCCCACCAAAAATCATTGCCCACCCCTGCCTTACAGGAATATAACTCTTTACGTTTACAGTGTTGATTGATTCAAGAATCTACTGCTTTAATCCCCTTTGCTATTTTTGTGCCTGTGTTTTTGCAGGCAGAAATATGTCTGACTTTTGGGAAATGATAGAGCAGTTTCCTGTTATTAATTACACATTTTCCAGTAATATGTCTGCACTCCTGGGTAAGTACCTCCTGAAGGAATAAATGAATAACAACATATTTTGTTATCAATGTAATGAATGCAGATATTTACTTGCCTGGTTTTATCACACATTAACCACAGGAAACTGTGTGCGATTTAAATGCCACACAGGCACATCACCAAATTTAGGGACATATCTTTTATCCATTGAAGGCAAAACTTCTATTGATTTCAGTGGACACAATATCTGGCCCAGGGCTGGATTTACAGTTTACACACTCCTAATCACATCTTCACTGGTTCCTCTGTTGACAACTGATCTCCACGTTATACTCAGTTGTAGAGAGATCAAGCTCCTCTAAAAAGCTAGTGCCCCTAGGTACGTCTACTGTGCTTAAATCAAAACCTGGCCCTGGTTTGACATTTGTGACCTAACCAAAGCTCACTGAAGTCACTGGGAATCTTCCAGTAGCCTTCAATGTGCCCTGAAATGAGGATAGGGTTAAGTATAGCCCTTTTTGTTCCTTGGGGTTTGTAGATGTTCAAAACCTAGGATTTAACTCAGCGAGCACTACTATCACCTTGAGCTTGCTCTCAGAAAGCACAGATAATTAGAAAAAAATATAAGAAGATTGATTAGATGTTCATCCAATGCTTAATGCTTTGACTTTGGTCTTAAGGCCTTGTGTAAGATTTAGGAAGTGTCTGTGGGTTGCTAACTGAGAGATTAGAAGCCAAAGATGTATACTTCTTATTGGATACAAAAGCATAGTTATTTAGGGGACAGGTGTTGCATTTGCCCCAGTTGGAGAGACGGTGGGGAATTTGCACATCTCTTTGAATGGTGGGAGATAATGGAGAGAAGTCTAGTGGATAAGTGACATGCTGGTACTATGTTTAGGGGCAGAAAAAAAAGTCTTTTCTTCTATACACTACACTAGTGTGGGGTGTGAAAAGTAATTGTACCCCATGGGCTGTATCTCCTCCTAGAGATTGGAGGACCTAAGATGTGGATGGGAGGTGAAAAAGCTAGTTAGAAATGAACAAATGATATTTGATATCTAGTATTTCTGTAAGGTTTCTTAGACACCTGGGATCATGCCATAGATACACATCTGGAAAAGTAAATCTAGGTGAATGTCCCCAAAATAACTAATACTTGTATAAAAATAGGATGTCCAGAGCTGGGGACCATCAGCACCAAAACCACAGGACTCTACTGCATTTGAAGGACTAACTTCATTAGCTCTCAGCCATAATAAGCTCTTATCTTCTATGTGAGCTAGCCCCTAGAGGATGATAAGACAAACTTGGCCATTTGCTACAGTAACAACTGGTCTGGTAACTTTAACTGCATGATAAATTGAACTACACCTAAAATGTTGATCACAATATCGTAATTCAGAGAGTGTTTTACCTATTTGGGATAAAGTTCAAGGGAATTATTTCTCCTGTTTAACAGAACAGTAAAAACATATAGACATTTTACCCAATAGCTGCCCATTTCAAAGACAATGGTTGATTTGCTTACACTAGAACGAGATCTACGTCTGTGTGTTTGACTTACATATCCAAATGCTATAGAATTTGGTTTAGATTGTAAGTATGACCTGGATGCAACTAACTCTTAACTTTTACTAACTAAAAGATGTAGATTCAATTCTTCCCAGCTTGATGACCTTACGAGAAGACCCTGACAAAATCATGGATGAGCCCCCTGAAGATATTTGGACATTTAAAAGTATGCAAGTATTCTTAGAGTTAAATATTTAATCTCCTGGGCAGACTAGTTGAAATGCATTTATGATTTTTATTTGGTTCACATCACTGTGTGCTCAGTGCAGTGCAAACAGTAGAGGAAGGCATAACCTTTTCCTAAAACACAAAATATGTAAACTGGAGAAACATTATAGATCAGGCTAATGATGTCTGATTGGTGATCAGAAGTTCTGTTCACAATGTGGCCCAAAGCTTTTTTTAAAAATCTTGATTCTTTACAGAAGGGCCTTCTGGGGTGGGGGTGAGGTGTGAAGACAAAAGAAAATGCGGTTGCTGGTCATGTGAGATAGAGGAAACCATTCCAGATACTCCCGAAATCTCACGTATTCTCCCTATAAACCCCTCCTTCTCATCAGTCTGTCTCCTCTTCATCTAAATACTTACAAGGCCTCCATTGCTGTAATATTTCACAGTCTTCAATGTATCCTCACAAAACCTTCTGAGATAGGTTGGAGGTTTGTCTCTGTGTCAGAACAGGGATTTGAACCACTTCTGTCAAGTCTAGATGAGGCCCAAGTTATTGGACTATCTTTTCTCTCCCAGCTTTATATAAATATTCATCTTTTCCCTTTTCACAGACACTTTTCTCTCTACCCCAAACCTTTTCTATTTCCCCCTCCTTCATGCCTCTGAAACCAAACCTTTAGTCTTTCACACTTCCATTCTCACCTGCCTCCACCCAATTTCTCCAGTCCTTCTCAAATCCCAGTTTCTGCCCCCCTACATTCTTCAGTCTGCTCCCTTTTATTTTCCCCCACATGTTCTTCATACAAGCGAGCTGATTAGGAAATGATAAAATATTGAGAAGGGGGTGGAAATGAAAATGAATATTTTCTTTTCCTTTTTTTTTTTTTTTTACAGCAAACAGAAACAATATCAGCAAAATATCTGTCTTTGAAAACTTTTTTGGGGAGTGGATTTCCAGGTTTTCTTTCAGAAAACAGAAAATTGTTCCATGCATCCATCTCTCCTGTGGCTTTGCTAATGAGTTTAAGCAATTGACACTCAAAGTGGTCTAGGAATTGATAGGTTTTACCATTTGTACTGTAGAATGACTGTTCCCCAAAGAGTTATGTTCATTATTTTCTGACCATGTTGGCACTAACTGTGCTGCAGTAGAAGGGTATGGCTAGACTACAAGTTTTTGTCGGAAAAACTCTCCGCATTTTGCATACCTTTTTCCGATTCTTTTGTCGGAAGAGGCTTTTTCAACATTTGGCCCGTGTAGACTGGGCCAAATGTTGGGAAAAAACCCTCTTTTAGAAGCCTCCTTCTTCTCTGTAGAATGAGGAATACAGGGGCTTCCGAAACAGCGTGTTTGTTCTTCCGCAAAAAAAAAGCAGAAGAGCAAATGGATTCCCTGGACACAGTGGAGTTTTTTGGGATACCCTGAGAAAACCCTGCAGTCCAGCTGTACCTAAAGGGTACATCAATGTGCAATAAGATAACAATATCTTTCCTGTCCCTTTATTGGTTTAGCAACAAGGATGCCTTCCTGGGCACAGACTATTGCACGGAAAGGAGATGAAATCCTCGCTACACAATTTCCCATGTGGCCAAAGACTGTTGGTCTGAAAGGATCTGGATTTCCAATTCTGCAATTGCCCTTGTGGTCACAGACAGATGCTTCAAAAGGACATGGCACTACAAGGCCACCTGCTACTACTGTGGAAAGATCTGATATTTTACCTAAAATCCAGCCAACTAGTGAGTTCAGAAAATGGTCTGCTGTAGTCAGATACCTGGGAACATTAGGGGCTCTCACTCACCCAGTAGACTATCCATTGCTTATACACCTTCAGGGAGGATTAAAGACCAAATCCCATTCAGGGGATCAGTTGGCTTGTCCTGCCTGCCTGTGTAGGGAGTGCATTGTAGCAGTGGCTGTGGAGTGACTCTTCAGACACGCTGTAGCCTGGAGAAATTATTTTTTCTTGGCCCGACTTCCTACCTTCTGCAGAGCCACTTGGGGGCTGTGTTCTGACAGGAGAATGTGGGCTTAACAGGATGGGGTAGGGAGGGAAAACCAAGAGTAGATCCAGCCCTGGATTTTCTATGGCCCGAGTCCATTGAAATGTTACACCCCAAGGAAAAGCATCAAACCTGGTTGCCAGCTTGAGAAAACAATCCATGAATTCAACAAATAACACCAACTCCAGCCTGCTTCTGACATTTTCAGGGAACAGCCAGCTCAAGAAGTGTCAGGAGGTGCAAAGAACAATAAAAACTCTTCTTGAGACCCTCCGGACATTAAGCACCCCAGCCTCTATCCCAAAATCTGAGCATAAGTAGGAAGGGAAGTGTTTCAGGCTGATGGCACCTCAGAAGGCCAAATAAGAGCTGAAACAAAATACAGGACTATGTAGCACTTTAAAGACTAACAAGACGGTTTATTAGATGATGAGCTTTCATGGGCCAGACCCACTTCCTCAGATCAAATAGTGGAAGAAAATAGTCACAACCATATATACTAAAGGATACAATTTAAAAAAAAGTGAACACATATGAAAAGGACAAATCACATTTCAGAACAGAAGGGGGATGCGGAGGGTGGGGGGAAGGTAAATGTCTGTGAGCTAATGATATTAGAGGTGGGGAAAGGTAAATGTCTGTGAGCTAATGGTATTAGAGGTGATAATTGGGGAAGCTATCTTTGTAATGGGTAAGGTAGTTGGTGTCTTTGTTGAGCCCAACACGTAGAGTGTCGAATCTTAGCATGAACAACAGTTCAGAGGATTCCCTTTCAAGTGCAGATTTGAAAGGCTTCTGAAGCAGGATGCAGGTAATTAAGTCGTTGAGACAGTGTCCTTTCTGGTTGAAATGGCAAGAAACTGTTTTTTCTTTGTGATCCTGTCTAATATCTGTTTTGTGGGCATTGATCCTTTGGCGAAGTGTCTGAGACGTTTGTCCAATGTACATAGCAGACGGACACTTTTTAATTGCATCCTTTGGTATATATGGTTGTGACTATTTTCTTCCACTATTTGATCTAAGGAAGTGGGTCTGGCCCATGAAAGCTCATCGTCTAATAAACCATCTTGTTAGTCTTTAAAGTGCTACATAGTCCTGTATTTTGTTTCAGCTACACCAGACTAACACGGCTACATTTCTATCAAATAAGAGCTGGTGTGTGATAGAAGGGCAGAGCTTGCTTGGACAGAGCTCAGAGCCCCCACAAGCATTGTCAGCATCCAGCACATGTAACTTCTTTGCATCCATGTATGTCAAAGCTGAAACATTTCAAGTCAGAAGAGGAAAGAGCCTATGATTTTCAAAAGTGACCTTTAATCATCTTCAAAAATACTTAAAGGTCTAGAAAACATGACCTATGAGGGAAGACTGAAAGAACTGGGCTTGTTTAGTTTAGAAAAGAGAAGACTGAGACATGATAACAGCTTTTAAGTTCCTAAAAGGGTGTTACAAGGAGGAGGGAGAAAATTATTCTCCTTAACCATTGCTGATAGGACAAGAAGCAGTGGACTTAAACTGCAGCAAGGGCGGTTTAGGTTGGACTTTAAGAAAACCTTCATAACTGTCAAGGTGGCGAAGCACTGAAATAAATTGCCTAGGGGGTTTGTGGAATCTCCATCATTGGAGATATTTAAGAGCAGGTTGGATAGACATCTGTCAGAGATGGTCTAGATGGTGCTTGGTCCTGCCATGAGGCCTCTCAGGGTCCCTTCCAGTTCTAGCATTCTATGATCTTTCATGTACATGGTTCAATTTTGACAAAATTCTGGAGGAATTGGTACACTCGTGCCTGCTTTCCTGCTAGTTATCCCCTCTTGGTCTTTGGCAGTTCACTGGGGATATGGGGTTAATGGGGAACAGAGAGCCTGGAGGCTGCGGTACCTAAGCACTGTGACTCACAGCCCAAATGGGGGCCCAGGGCTTCCAAGGTGAATGGCTCTGGGCAGCCCACCATGTAGATCCCCTCCCAAACCATGGCTCCCGGGCTTCCAAGGTCCATGGTGGATGGTTCCTGGGGCCAGGACTCTATTCTCTTCCTCATAGAATTTCTAAAGTTTTAGTTTTCATTCCAAACTGGAACAAAAATTAATTTTGAAATATGAAGCTCCTCCATGAAATGGCATGACCTTGCTCTGCGCATCTCTAGGCTCAGGTTGGACACCAAAAAAAATCACTAGATGTTTTTGAGAATCTAGGCCACAATTCTTTCCCACAGACATACAGGCAGTCCCCGACTTACGTGGATCCGACTTACGTCGGATCCCTAGATACGAACGGGGTGAGGCAACTCCCGCACATGCGCAGCAGCATTCCCGGGGCTCGCTCACCTGGGTCCTAGGATCCTCCTCCTCCTCGGGCCGGCTCCGACTGGGGTCCCGCAGAGCTGCCGGGCAGAGGAAAAGTGTCTCCCCACCCCCGCTGCCCCCCCTGCCAGCAACAGGCTCCCCCCTCCCCTGAGCAACAGGCTGCTGAACAGACAAAAGCAGCCTCTCTGCCCCTCCTCCCCTCTATACATGGCGCGCTCCCG